CGGAAGACGGCGTTCGGGAAATGGGCCGTCGACGAGACATGCGTGCGAAATGCGTCGGCGGTGTCGCTGATACCGCCGGGGCGGCGCGGCGCGCGATTTTTCGACTCACGCGCCGCTTGCGAACGCGTGGACTGCCTCTTCGTCCGCCTCGACTACTCGGACGAGCGGCGCATCCACCGGCATCGGCCGCGTCCCGCGAGTGGTTCCAGACCATGACCCACCTCCTCGCGGCCAAAAACGAGACGACCCACCTCCTCAAAGTCTACGACGCGCCGCCGGCTCCGGTTCCCGACGCGCCGACATCACCGAATGAATTCAATCTCAGCGAGAAACTCAGAAACTGGAGTCCCGGCAACCTCAGTTGGCGGGCGCTCCACACGACGCGGCATCCGCGCGTCGGCGTCCCGGACTTTGGTGTCGCCTCGCTCTGCGACTGGATCATCTTTCGAGAGAACGGGACGTGCGGTTTCCGGACGTACCTCGTCCGGCGGCGGAGGGTCCCACGGACCGTGTGGCTCGGGAACCGCAACTTCTACGGGCGGCGACGCGATCCGCTTCTTCGTGAACCGCGTGCTGCCGCGTCTGACGCGTCCCGTGGTCCTCTACAGCGGGTCCGAGGACTCGACGCTCCCCCTGCAAGTCGACGCGCGATTCGGACCGAACGACGACGCGAGCGTCCTCGAGGTCTTGAACTCGCCCCTTGTTGAGCGCTGGGTCGTGGAGAACCTCGTCACGGGCGGCGTCGACTGGCCACACCCCTTCCCTTCTTGCTCAAACAACAATTATGACACCTCTAATTGATGTTTCTGGTGGTTCTGCTAATATCACAATTGACCGTGATACACATATCTCTCAATTTACTCAAATTAAAAAATTTCCTTACGTCACACTATGGAGATGACACTGCACTCCCCCGTAACGTCGACATCAACGTTTCTTGTTACCCTAGTTTGGGGTATCTCTCTCTAAGAGGAGAGAGACAGAAGATATATCTCGTACTTGAGTAACCTGGAACGTGNGC